TTGCCACCATAGCATCCTCCCCTGCCCAACCTGTGGGTGGAATCTAAGCGGGCTCCAAGTGCCACGTTGATTTGATTTTGCGCCTCTCTGCGGCCAGGACCAACCTTCACCAGGAGGAGCAATGGCTGGGATGATGAGCGGTCGCAGCTGGTCTTGGTATACCATGTCCACCTTGCCATTTTGAGGCACGGCTGGACAATCCAGAATCAAATGCCAGAAGCGGCGTGCAGCCGAAATGCAGGAACCCCGGCCAAGAAGATCTCGGCATCCATGTGCAACACCACCTGAGATCTCTGTCATTGAGCCTGGCCTACACGCGTACGTTCGTCCTCAGCAGACCCTTTGCCGACACGGTGCACGGAATCTTGCCCGCTGGTCGGGCACCTGCAGAAGAGCACGGCGAAGTATCGAAGGCCACTTTGGAGGCAGTCCGAAGTACAAGGCAGACCAAATACCAAGGACATAGTAAGCATGTCAACACGTCAAAATGCAGCCGAGTCAATCGGCTGGGCTGACTCGCATGACTCGCAGGACTCGCATGACTCGCGTGGCTCGCACCCGGTGCCCGCCTTGGGCTCAGGCAATGCGAGCTGCTCCCGGAGACACCCCAACACTGTGGCCGCACGCTGCACGGCGTCTTCTACGTGCGCTGCAAAGATGTAGACGCTGCGGTCGGGGGCATAGCGCTGCACATAAAGCCCCACAGCTCTGAGCGTGGCAAAGCTACCAAAGGCACCGATGAGGGCGCTGTAGTCCTCACAAGTACCCAAGCAAGTTCCTCCGAGCGAGTCGTCTCTTGAAGATGTTGGTAAGAAAGCACGGTCTGAGCAGAGCACACGGCTCTGCAGCACTAGGCGGAACTCCGAGAGACTCTCGCACTCCGCCAGCTGCTTCAATACCGCGTGCAGCCTCAGATCCAAAGGCTGCGAATGGCATGGCTCAGCCTTAAGCTCCCCACTGTGCCAGAACCTCTTCTGAGGCCTTTCCATCCTTCAAACGCTGGACGGCATCCAGGATTGGGTCCATGGTCTCGTCCACGACCTTTCAACGGCTAGTGGCTGTCTGTCCACTCTAGCATGCTGCGAGGTTGCCAGTCTGCTCTGGTCCTCCAAGTCCTACCAGCCATGCAAGAGACGCCAGCCTCAAGCTCATTGATGAAACCACTCCACACGCCTGAGAGCGGTTGGATTGGCCTTCCTTGACAAACAGCACTCTACGCACCTTCTTTAATCAGCAGTCGCACTTGGCTGCCATTGATGGCCACCACTGTGGCAACACCATCCACCTGTCCGAGCTGTTGAAAAGCTCGAAGGCAAACCTTGACATAGCATCTGGCCATGTCTCGCCTGCAACAGACCCCATCCACGCTTGGGCGTCATACCAGCACCTGGGCTTCGACGGGCAGGGCACTGGGAATTGGCACCGTGATACGTCGCGGGCGAATTTTGCAACCTTGGACTTGGCTTAAGCCTCAAGCGGATGCGGACGCGGACCCCTGGGCGGACTTTATCTGCTACCTTGGCTGTGTCGCGGATCACTGCACCCAAATCCCCGAGTTTGCTCATTGAAAGAACCTGTGGCATCAAGCAAGGGCCACGTCAGACTACACCATGATGTGGAAGTGGCTTTGCCAAGCTGCAGGATCAATTTCCAGCTCATCCTGGCAGGAAGTGAGGAAAAAAGCTAGACCTGCTGCGACTGCATTCCCCCAAAATCAGGGACCCTCAAACCGTTCGTATCTTTGTTGTTTGCTGTACTAAGGATAAACAACCAGGTTCCAAGCACATGCCACTCTCCATGATGCTTTTTCCTCGCAGGCATGGCGAGTAGCATCAACGCATCTGGGCTGTCCTTCTGGCAATGCCAGCTTGCTTGCTCCGCAAAGCTGACCCAGGCTTGCGTATCCTCCTCCTTCATCACCACACCTTACAAACTGAGCCCTGGATCTGCAAAGCAGTGCAATTGCTGCGCATGGCTACAGCAAACTGGGTGCGGCACCCACGCTTTCATGGGTAACCTTGCACATCAATCGCGCGTCAGGACCGATGGCGAAGAACGGCAGTTTTAGGGAGAAATCAAGAGTTTCAAGTTGAGCTAGCAAGTTGTAAGGTGAATCGCTACACAGCATGTCTGGCGACACATATCAGCCAAGAGACGGCGCCCCATTCAAATTTGGGATGCTTAACCTGTGCCGATGCTTGCAATCTAGCTGCTCACCCTAATTAAAGCCATCGCAAATCTCTCAAACGAATCGAAGGAGCCACTCCCAGCCTCTGCTCGTACTCTCACTGCCCTACCCTCGAGGCCAGAGATGCGCGCACAGGTCTCGGCTGCCTATGCCGCTCACGCTGGGAAATCACACCACCCCAAAACCTGCAACCCATTTATGCTTGTCAGACGTTGCCGCGAGTGAAACCATGCTTGCTGCAACCGATGACTTGGCGTAACTGCGCTCCAAGCAGCATAGCCAAGCACTCCAAGCATGGCCAAAGAGCCAGATTAGCATTCCTTCAGAACCTTTAGTTTCCAAACGTCCTCCCCGTGCCGCCCGCCTCTTCAACGGAGCCGTTGCCGACAGCAACCAGCGCTTGTCTGGCGCGCTCCAGCGAGAAGCCCCGCTCCACAGTGAGCTCCCGTAGCCGCTGAGCTTCAATTTCCTAAGGCGAAGCAAACAAATCTGGCGTGTCCCTTTTGGCCTTTTGGCATTCTTTAAGTGACACGTACCCACATCTGAGTCACAAACCAGGGATTGGACAAGCCCAAACCCGTGTGGAATCAGAACAAATATCACCTGTTTCTGGTGTTCACTATTAACCTCGGCACCTTGACGACGCCACACGTTTGCCGACTCCCCGCATGCAACGTGCCAGTCAGATTGTAAAAAACATGAGCTCCCTGGCGTCGAGTCTCAAGCTCATTCTGCGATCCTGCTTCACCCTGGAGGTGCGCCTGTCGAGTCCCATCGCATGCCACAGACCCACAGCATCTGTGCGCCCCACCTGGCAGAAGGAGTGGCCGCACGGCGCATGCACAGCTCCCTGAATCAGGTCATGGCAAACGCTGCCTCAGCTATCACGGCTCCGATGGTTTTCAAGACCATAGCCATGACTTCTGCGCACTGTGGACAGAGCTGCTGAAGCTCTCGATCTTGCAGGGAATAAGATGAACAAAGAGTGCCGTGGCTTCCACGCTGCCTTTTGTCCCTCTGAACCAAGCAGCACTGCAGCTCGCGCAGGCACTCTGGCGGAACCTGATAAACAGAGAGGAAACAGGGCATGCAACGAGGACAGGCTGGGGCAATAAGGGAGCGTAAAACCTCCTTCAGATGCTCACCGAGGCACCAGTGCTACCTCATAGCCGGACGCAGTTCGCAGCAGAACGCCCTTGTTCGCCGGCGACTTTGCCAAACTTAGCTCGTGGAAGCAATGTGGCAAGGTGGCCAAAAAGCCAATATGACCAAGCGGCAGCTTGTCCACTCCTGAAATCCTTGAATGAATGCTGCAACCAGCTACCATTCAGTCTTGCAAACGGCACCCTTGTCAGGCACAAAATCCAGCTGTATGCCGACAGCAGTGGCCAGGCTACGGCCGTGCAGCTTCCAGGCCAAGCGTCTGCACGGTCTGAGAGCGTGCAAGGGTTCCGCAAGGAATGACACCCTTCTCCGGCGGCAGTACCACGCATCCTGTCAGGCACACAATGGAAGGCTTCTGGAAATGCAACAAGAACATATATATATATACATACATATACACGTGTATATATATATATACATATGTATTTGCTAATATTGTCTTCTTCATTCATCATTGAATAGCATCGCACTTTCAAGCTTTTCGTGCAAATTGTGTGGCAAGCTCAATACTTTGGCGCTTCGGTGCAGATTGTGTGCCAGGTGCCGTGAGATGTGATAAGAGACGTGACGACATACACGACGAGAGTTGGGACGGGAGACAGGACGGCGCGAGAAATGCCCTGGCGCGCGACGAGAGACGTATCGTGAGACGACATGACAAAAAATGTTACCCGGAACGTCGCGAAGGTCCTGACGCAAGACGATGTCGACAAGAGATGTGAGAAGAAATATGACCAGGTACGTAAAGAGAGTCGTGACGAGTGACGAAAGACGTGACAGGAGATGTGCCCGGATATGTGGCGAGAGACATGACGGGAGATTTGACGACGAGAGACATTGACGATAAATCCGACGAGAGACATGCCGTGAGATGTGACTTCACCACAGTCGTGTTGTAAGACGCTGTCTAAGACATGAGAAGAAACAAGAAGAAACAGAACCAAATGCATGACAAGTGTCCTGATGCAAGACGCGAAGAGAGAGGAAGAGTAAAGATGTGACACGAGACGTGCCGAATTACGTGGCGACAGACAGGACGGGAGAGGCGACGAGACGCAAAGTGAGACACGAGAGAGGTGTCGCCAGATATGTGACGTAAGACGCGACGAGAAACGTGACGAGAGGCGTTACAAAAGACATGACCTGAAACGTTTCTAAGAGACCCTGTGACAAAACATGTGACAAAATGTGTGACGCAAGGTAGCACGGCCAATCTGAGCCAAGGCACCTGTTGGCACCGAAGCACTGCGGGTGAGCGGCGCTGGATCGGGAGGATCACTCATTGCGCTTCGCAAGCTCACAATGAAATGCTGAAAGCAATATGTAATCTTCTGCTTTTATTCTGACAACACTGTCAAAGCAAGCGACACATCATGCAACTTTGGCCTAAAGATTTAAACGCCGGCAACAGTGGATAGCATGCTGGCCAGCAGTGCTGCCCTGCTGTGTTTCAAAGTTTGGGGCTGAGCGTACTCTCATGTCTGGCTCATGGCGTTTGTGTCTGGCCAAGCTTTTAAGCTGCCGCTGCTGCCACATGTCCATCTGAAGCTCAGATACTGCGCCAGGCCACTCAAACGTCCAAACTGAAATGATGCTCTCGCACACCCGAGACCATGCTCCCCAGCCGCACGTCATGCTCTCGCCAGGCCTTCAAGGTCGCGCTCAGCGGCCAGGTACCCTGCCTCAAGGCCTGCGAAGAAAAAGGCGCCCGGATAGTCCTTGCGCCTCGGGTCGACTCGCGCGTCCGAAAGAGTTCCCTGCCTACGCTGCCTGGGCTGCGCGTTTGCCTTTCCCAGAAAGCCATTTGTGAGAAAGCACCCCGCGAGTTCGAGGCGCCCCCCGCGAGTTCGAGGCCCCCCCCCGCGAGCTCGAGGCGCCCCCAGTCCAGGATCTCTTTGGCCATGTGGTGGCGAGCCGCACGCTCTTGACGCAGCTCTCCAAGAAAGCTGCTCACATCCACGCAGAAGCCGATGAGGACCATGCCAGCAAAAGGTGCCTGGCAAGTGGTTGGACCGTAAGGATGTGTGCAACATACTCTGCCCTTTCTTCTAGATGAACTATAGCGCAAAATGAGCTCCTATGGCAAAATCGAAGACGTTCAGTCTCTTCCTCCTCCTTCTCCTCTTCCTCTTCTTCGGCTTCTTCTGCTTCTTCTGCTTCTTCTTCTTCTTCTTCTTCTTCTTCTTCTTCTCCTCCTCCTCCTTCTCTTCTTCTTCTCCTTCTTCTCCTTCTTCTACTTCAGGAGAGCAGCCCTTTTGACTGCGCATTCCCTCTCTGAAATCTGTAACACTTACCCAGGTGACTCCTGCAGCCTTTTCAACTTGTCAGCTACAGCACCTCGCCCAGCTGCCTGGATGCCGCCTTCCTCCCAGCAGGCCCTCAGCTGCGAGAGCGCCACATCGCGGCCACCAGAGAAGCCTTCGAAGCGCATGCTCAGCAGGTCATACGGGTACCAACTCTCGAACTCTCCAACTCTGTTGTTCGGGGTTGCGCACTTGGCTTCCCAGCCTGTGGCCCACCCCGCAGCTTTCATAGCCGTGGGAGGCAGCATGGAAACAAACCTGAGCAAACTGCCCAAAGTGCTAGAATCAGGGGTGAAAAGGGGTGAAAGTGCTTTCTCTGATTGCCGCGTCTCTCAAACGAATTCAGCGGAGATCGGCGCTTCCGAGCGACAAATTGAAAACCCCGAGAGCCAGGAGCGCCGTGGAGCGCACGCAGCCACGCTCGTGGCCGTCGAAGGTCAAAGCCTGGCAAAGGTTCCTTCGGTGGGGTCGTGGAGTGAACCAAACGCTGGTCAAAAGGCCCAGAATTTCATGACTGACATAGGTTGCTGGAACAGAAGGTAGCCATGCACAGAAAATATAAGATTGCTTCGATCAACAGAGCTGGTTCTGCTTAGCTTTAGGTTTGCTGAGGTTTGGGTTGGCGTGGAGTCAGGGTGGAGTTGCAGTTGGAAGAACTTAGGGTGAATAAGTTTGATTCGGTTTTGGCTTGGTTTGCTTTAGGGGCGGTGGGTATGTCTTATATAGTGCTTGTTCAGGTGCAGTTCACCATTGGCTCAATTCAGGGATAGCTTATGGCGGGCGTAGATTGAGTTGGGATTGCAGTTGTTCGAGGAGGGCGACGTCAGGGCAGTTGTGGGTGGTGTGTTGAGGTCGGGGTGGGATATGGGGCAACTTTGGCGTTGGAACTGTGCTGGTTAGGTTTGGATGGGTTTAGGGTTGGTGTAGGGCTAACTGTGGGCGGGCAGGGGTGAAATTCTGGAGAGTATAGTGTTGGTGTCGGCTGGTTCCGGCAGGATTAGTGTGGATTTGTTGAGGGCGGGTTTAAGGGTGAACTTGAGTTGGGCTGAGGGTAGCTTTGGTGCCGCCAATTCAGGATGGGTGTGCGGCTGGTTTAGTGTGCACGAGGGGGACCAGAGCCATACAAAGGATATGGGACACAAGGACCAGGGACATCAAATGTAAAAAAAAAGATCTATAAACCAATATGTTTGTTTGAGGGAATGCCAGAGCACACGCTTCCAGTCTGTCCTCGGACTCCAATGTGCGCAGCCAAAACCAGGAGCGCAGAACGTGCCACACCTTGGTCCACGCTGAGCGTTAGGGAGAACAATTAGGCCTTTTCCAACGTGTACCCAGTCCCGCTGCCATGCCTTTAAGTGCCGCCAAGGCAACCCCTCGTGAGGGCATCCCCTGCATAATCTCCACGACACCGGCCACGAGGTTGCACAAACCTGGCCCAATACAGCAACCCGCGCACAAAGCGTTTCCCAACTCTCAAATATACTAAGTGGCCTTAAACATCAAACACACAAAAAGCCTCCCAAATCTGGCAAAACAGAGCTCGAAGGCCCAGCCGCAACTGCATTTTCAAGGACCCTGCACCGCACCTCGCAGGACCGTTCGGCCGGGCCAGTCGCTATCCGCTGTCAACTGATCATCCGCCAAGCGCACGCGCTCCAGCACAATGTCCAGCTGGTTGTTCCTCAACTGGGCAAGCCGGTCGTGTCAGGGCTGAAGCAATGGGTTGCAGGTCGGCCCTGCATTCCGCATCTCGGGGTGGGCCCTTTGTCCAACTGCTTTAACCTTTTCCGCGCATGCCAGAGAGATTAAAATCCGTCCCAAAATAAACACCCCTAGGTTTTAAAATTTAGCATCTGGCATGCCAGCCCGCATCAACGACAAGTTGCTCAAGGGAAGCCAGGCCATTGATGAGGCTCATCAATGCGTTGACAAAGGAAAAGCACCCTGAAGCAAAGTCACGCTTGCGATGCACGTTCGAATCTGGTGCTGCAAGCCGCAAGCCTCTTGACATGCCCACTCGCACCTCGCATATCGTGATCCCCTGCATCAAAGCGGAACTCCCGCTTGGCCACATCTGCAGTTGCTTCAGCCAAGAGGTCCTGTTGGCCCAATCGACAAAATATGACCAGAGTGGGTGTCCAAAAGTGTATAGGTATGCTACAGTATGTAGGTCTTTCTTGCAGGACTTAGTTGTTCTGATTGTGGATCGTTTCGCTCGGCGCGGACAGGTGTCCAAGCTGTTACGTTGCAGACTTTTGCGAAAGGGACATGAGAGTTGGCAGCTTCCGCAGGTTTCGCTTCGACGGTGCTGTTTTGTGATAGAGCGAGTCTGGTTTCATGTCACTTAGAACATCATTGTCTTCTGCCCATGGCGTCTGTTTCGAAAAGTGTGATAGATGTTGTGGTGGACCCTGCTGCTGACCATAGCGAGCTGTGAATTGAATTTGACCGAAGTGGGCTTCCAAACCTATGAGCTCGTAGTTTGAGTATAGGCTTGTTTGGTTCAGTGCGCTTGAGGAGAAGCGAAGCCAAACTCCAAAGCACCCGAGGAACAAGCAAAAAGGACAAAAGCAAAAACACAAAGCGAAGGTGGATCGACAACTTCAAGGGAGGTGGGTTGTAGATCACCTGCAACACCAAGAAGGACTCCAAAGCAAAATCACGGGTGTAGGAAGCTAAAGCAACAACGAGACCAATCCCGCACTTCTTCTTTTGGGAGAGATCAGGCTGAGTATGCACATTGAGGTTCAGTCCTGGGATGATTTCTGTCCTGATCTTTCAACTGCTAGCTTTGACAATCAACAGGTTGAGCTAGGAGGGCAAACAAGTCATCGACTTTGCCAACAAAGACGTACCCTAACCCATCTGCAACATCATGCACATATCAGGGTGGAGCAGCTGAGTGCTCACGAAGGACGCCCTGCTCGCAATCCACAGGCTGAACTGGTTGGAGGAAACAGACATGGCGAGTCCTCTGCTTCCTGCAAGTGGTTGGACAACATGAGCCGGATGCTTTCCTCGATGGCGCGCAGGTCTTTGCCCCACCTTTCCTCCACCTCAAGCTAGAGCTGCTTCATGTCACTTTCAACAGGCTGCGTCACAGGGTGCAATGCGATGGGCGCACACGGGCTGGCAATGAAAAGACTCACACGCTCAAGTCCGAATAAGAGCTGCAGCGGAAACACCTCCAACTGCGTGCAAGACAATAAGGGACAAAAAAAAGGATGAAGCAAAAAAAGCTGCGTTAAGCCACATAGGTCGCTAGCCCCGACCCAGCCGACTCAAAACCTGAACCTCCCCGCCTCAGGATCCACAGCCTTGGCCGCATCTGCATCTGCCGGCATTGCAAGAAAAATCTAAGCCCGGAAAAACAGTAAGATGTGCGCATTGAATTTAAGTTCCAATCTTGAATCCCATGTGCCACATTGCGCTGACAAACACACTTGCTGAATAAAAGACTGGCGGGTGTTTATTACTTGCCGACAGCGTCGCAGCCTCGGGCCACAGTTCTGGCGACTTTTAACCCCGGTGCAACCCCGGAATGAGACCCACACACACACACACACACACACACACACCTCTACGCCACAAGCAAGCCAGCCAACGAACCAAGCAGGCAGGCAGGCAAGCAGGCAGGCTGGCAAGCCAGCAAGCAAGCAAGCAAGCAAGCAAGCAAGCAAGCAAACCTGCCTCCTGACAGCCAAGTGTAAAAACACACAATCCGTTGCCTTGGCGTTTCGCGAGAAATAATTTTACCAAATCCTACAACAATAACACGGGCACAGTGCGATTGAACGCACGCAGGCACGAAAACTATCAAACAAGCGAACAAAACAACGCAAGGCCTTCCCTCCCACAATCCGCCGATGCCACTCGAGCGTGTAGATGGCAATCCGTAACTTCTGCTTCCTTTGGATTAACGCTGAAGGCTTTTGGGGGGACCATTTCTGGGCAGATGTCCAAAAATCCTGTAGCTTTCCAGCGTTTGTGCCTTTGTCTACTGAAGAATGTACGTGAGTACGAGGGCGTTCGAGCAGAGGCTTGTCGTCTTCAGGAGGTTGTTCATTTCGTCAGAGTCCATGGTATGGAGAAGAACGCCCAACTGCCTGGTGGCCGGTGGCCGGTGGCTGCGGGCTGAGAGTGGAGGCCGAGACCGGTGGCCGGCGGGCGGTGGCGGGTGGCCGGTGGCCGGTGGCCGGTGGCCGGTGGTCCGTTTCAAACCAACCGGGGAACATGCACACATACTCATTTCAGCAAATGGACGGTTTTCCAAGGTCGGTTTGTGTTGGTGAAAGTATGGAGAAGGCAATGTTGACCACAAATCCAATACGTGCCCCTCCAAAAGTGCAAAAGTGATGAATCCTCACTGACGGGAATCAGGACCTCAGAGCGGTCGCTCTCTAAGCTGCGCCTCTCTGCACTGAGCAACCCAGGTCCTCTCTGTTAGCTATCTGCGCTGCGCTGCGGGCTTCTTCTGTGCGCTGACCAAACCAGATGTTCCGCGCTCTCTATCCGTGTGGCTCTTTGCGCTACTTTCGCAGGTAGCAGACGATTGCATCTGTCTCTGTGCAAGAGGCAAGTGACTCAGTCCAGCGTTGCTAAGCTGTGTTCTCATGGATGATAAACAGTGTCACAAACAGTTTCTTGCGTTGAGGGCTACATGCACACCCAGCGCCTAGGACTTGTAGCAACTTTGTCAGAAGCATCTGAGGGTTGTCCAAAATTCCTTGCTCCAGAATTTGCCTTCCGCCTCGCCCTTTCTTCCGCGATGCAGGTAAAACCACACGTTCTGACACATGTCCAAACAAAAGTAAGTTTCCGTAGTTAGAGAAAGCAAGCCAAGAGGAGAGCTAGTGCAGAAAGCAAGAAGTAGACTCTGAGTGGAGCAAGGAGGGAGAAGGACAAGCAAACGTAGGAACCGGAGCAGCAGAACACCGGAGAAAGAAAAGGAGGGAGGAATGCGGCAAAAAGCGACAAGCTACGCTGCATAAAGCCGCGGGTTTCCTTTTGGTATCGTTTTGGGTATCCTTTTGAGCGCTAACACGCGGCTGAGAGAATGAGCAGCAGCACCGGAAAACAGACACGACATTTCACGCTAAAGCACGAGGTGGGCCAGCCCCGGCACAAGGCGACAGCCGCAAGTGTATGGGTTTTGTTTTGGCATCATTTTGGGTATTGTTGGGAGCTCTGGCACACAGCGACAACTGTGGCACCTGCGCGTCCACACAGAAAGCATGAGAAAACTCGTTTTTTCGCGCTATTCGACAGAATATGCCTGGGGGATCACACGGAATGAGACGCCAGAACGCTTTTTGAGGTCCGAAACGCGCGGAAAAACGAATTTCGGACCGTGCGGTTCAACAAACTCTGCCGCGGGTATCAAAAGGACTGCCGAATATGATGCCAGAACGCTTTTCGATGTCCGAAACGCTCGCGCGTTTCTACAAACTCTGCCGCTTTGCTGCTTTGAGCCATGTTGGATTTGGCTTGCTGTGGGTCTTGGCGGGGGCAAGCATAGTGACGAAGGAACTGTTCCAATTTAAAAAGTGTGTCCTTTTGCGAAATCGAGAAACACTGATTTTTTGCACGCTGCCTCCCAGCCATTGCCTGCGTTATCAACATTCCCTGCGCCCCCGCCATCCCTAAGACTTGGCCAAAGTTTTGCGGCCGAAGTTAATGAGCTTGGACATTGAGTCTGGCCTGGTATGCAGTCCGGCTGCATCCCGCGCATACTGAGTTGTTCACGTCCGAAAATTCATACACCCAGCATCTTCGGCTCAGCGGGGTTGCTACCTGGCACTTTTGTTGCGCGCTTGCCCCTCAGCGCCCTTATTGGCGGTTGTCTTTTCTCGGCTTGGCTCTGGTTCGTATTAAATCAAATGCTCAGCTTGCGAAGCCTGAGATCCAGCTTCGGCAAAGACTGGAGGTTGAATGGAAACCACAACGAAACCTTAGGATGCCATAAAGAACCAAAACCATAAGAAAGCCAGAAGGAAACCAAACGGACAATCTGATCCGATGTGGGGGGATGGTCATAACGGGCCACCAAAAGGCAAAACGGAAACGGAGCACAAAATGTCTAAGCTCGATCTCAATGAGTGCAGAGACGGCTTTTCCCAGCCCTCAACCTGGGCATAAAGTTCCCAGCAGGTCCCCCAAGTCAGATATGTCAATTTTTCTTAGTGAGTTGACGTTGCGAGTGAAGCTGCGACGCTGCCCTGACGCTGCGCATGATGTTGTCCATGATGCTGCACGCAACGCTCCCTCTTGCGCTGCTCTCCTTCATGGTCGTTTCTCTCGTCACCCTCCTTTGGGCATCTGAGCGCAGTCTGGCTGCACAAGAAGGCGGGCGGCTTTAGCTGCGGAAGTGCACTTTGCACACTACTTGCGCGCCTGCAAGTTGCGATGTTCGAGCTGGAGTTGCGGAAGTGTAATTGGTGCGCCGTTTGTGCACTTTAGTGTTGCAGCTGGAGATGCGCAATAGCAGGCCAAATCAAATCCCTGACATAGCGGGGGCCAGGCGACGACTGATAGGCGTGGTAGCCCATCTGAAAGGCGGGTGATGGAACCCCAAGTGGTCTCAATGATACCAACATCTGCCATGACAGAGTAGGCGTGCACGTAATGAGTATTGGGACAACAACACTGGATCCTTAAATACCTTGCATGTTTTTCATTCAAGGCTCAAGGTTCAAGAATCTGAGAAAAGTATGTGTGCGAATGTCCAATCTTGAATCCCAGAATTTGTTGTTTGTTTTGTTGCTAGTGTTGTCCCAATACTCCAGGTTTCCAACACATACGTCTGCAACCAAGTACGCGCACCCGTCTGCAGTCATGTGCATTTAATGCTCAACCCTCCAAGTTCCGGCAATGGCTGGATTCAAAGTGCGAGGACAAGATTGTCTGAAAAGCTTTCTGTGAAAGTGTTCAATCTTGAATCTTCAACCTACTGGTAAGTTATTTTCGGGGCGTTAGAACAACTTTATTTTTTGGGGTTGGCCAGGACTGACGATTCTGTCAATCATGAATCTTCTGTGTTAGAAGAACTTGAGACGTGTCTAAAGTTGGCCAAGATTGACGATTCTCAAGACAGTGTTCTGTGTAATCGTCAATCTCGAATCTTCAATCCAGTAGTAAGATACTCTCAAGTGCCTAGCGATCCAGTAGAAAACCACTAATAAAAAAAGTAAGAATAACAGTATAATAAAAAAGACATAATAATAATAATGTCAATATAAATGATAATAGTACTGCTATCAGTGTAATACATAGTAGTAATATACAAACACAATGATATCAATGTTCGTGAATATTTATGAATCCCTGACAAACTCCAGAGGCACTTTTGGGCCACACATGCTTGCGGAGTGCGCGGCAGTACCTTAGTGAGACAGGACCTTAGTAAAACAGGGTAGCAGATATTCATCACCCCTCCTCGACTGCAGGTTGTGCCTTCAAGGCAGAAATTGCAGTCGCACTCATGGTAGTGGAGCCTGGGAATTCAGGATCCTTTGGGTCGTGAGCTTAAACATTGAGCTTGATCATCCAAGCGATCAAACAAGAACACTCTTGTGAAACTCCGACTTCTGCACTTCGACAAAGCCCATGCTCTGCAGATGCTTCTCCATCAAGAATGCTGACACACTCTTTGTCAACACATCAGAGCAGTTATCATCTGTGCGGATCTTCCGAACGCACACATGATTGGATTTCACCCGTTCTTGCAGCCATGAATAGCGCACCATTACATGCCGCTGCTTGCCAAGACCTCTGCGAGATGCAAAGGACTTAGCTGCGTTGCTGTCACTTTGAACCTGCACGTCCATGGGCAGGCCAAGGTCAACAAAGTAAGATCGCAGCCCGAGCCCGTGAGCTGCACCATGCACCAATGCGTAGTACTCAGCTTCAGAAACGTTCAAACCAACAGATGTCAGCAGATTGGAGGTTGTCTTGATGACATGTCCTTCGTGCCCACCTAGTCGTACCACCATGCCGGTGGTGCTCTTTCTTGACAGTCTGTCACCGGCGTGGTCAGAATCAACCATGCATGTGATGCAGGAACTGTGCTGCTGCTGCCAAAACCACAAGGCAACAACTGGCTTATGCAGCAAATATCGCCCCATGCGTTTCAATGCTTGCATGTGCCACTGCTTTGGGTTCGACATCCCCTGTGCTAGACACTTGACACACTCCCCCAAGTCTGCTCTGTCTTGACTCAGAAAGCTTGCCCTCATGACGCATGAGCGGAACAAGGATGTGTCTGCAGGAGACAAACTCGCATCATGCTGCAATCGTTCAACGTCGTCATCAGAAATCTTCACAGAAGGTGTCTTGACGCTCTTAGCGTTCAACTTCTGCAAGCCAA